CCATGGTCTTCTGTTAAGTTTCTCAAGATCCACATCTGAGTGAAAATATATGGTATTGGTGTTTCTCTTGGATATTTCTACTTAAGCCATGCCCTGACACATACCCATGAAAATTTTGAGATAATAAATGTGTGTTGCTTTAAGCTGCCAACATTGTGGCAATTTGTTATGCAACAATAGAAAATGAATAAACCCTATTAGTGGTCATCCTTCCAAGTAGAAGGTGTTGATTCTAGTTCACAGTTGTTCCCAAATCCTCAGAACCACCTATATCATACCTCCTCAGAGATATCAGCACTAGCCAAGCTAAACCCCACTCTTAAGGCAGTCTGAATCCCAGATACATGGACATTTCCTCTGTGTTCCTGTGGCATCTGTACCAGATTTTAAGTATTAATTATTGCAATACATGTCTAGATTTAGAGCTGTAAGTTCTGTAATTTTGCCCACCTCCCACATGTTTTGCTGTGTAGGATACTCAGTGTCCTTTATGTTCAAAGAAATTCTATTTTGTCAGTATTTCACCCTTAGCCAAATGTTGGTTTAAACATGCATTGGATCAAGAGTCAGATGTTCCTAAAATCCAATATTATTTTTTTTTTAATTTTTTTTTTTAACGTTTATTTATTTTTGGGACAGAGAGAGACAGAGCATGAACGGGGGAGGGGCAGAGAGAGAGGGAGACACAGAATCGGAAACAGGCTCCAGGCTCTGAGCCATCAGCTCAGAGCCCGACGCGGGGCTCGAACTCACGGACCGCGAGATCGTGACCTGGCTGAAGTCGGACGCTTAGCCGACTGCGCCACCCAGGCGCCCCACTAATTCTATTTTTTAAAAAAGTTTATTCATTTTTGAGAGAGAGCGAGAGAGCAGGGGAGGGACAGAGAGAGAGGGAAAGATTCCAAGCAGGCTTTGCACTGTCAGCACAGTACCCCATGCGGGGCTGGATCTTGTGATCCATGAGGTCATGACCTCAGCCGAAATCAGGAGTTGGACGCTTAGCTGACTGAGCCACCCAGGCACACCATGAGCTAGTTCGAGAGTCTAAATGGAAAAATAACCAGTAAAATTCGGAAGGAGGAGGAGAGGAATTGGATAAGTGGAACCATCAACTATTAAGATATAACTCTAATAACTAAGAGTATAGCTTCAGCAAAAATGTAATGGGTCACTAGAACTACTTAAAAGTTCAGCTATAGATCCAAATACATAGGAAAGATAGTATATGATAATGAAGCCGTTTTGGATCATTTAATATCCTTTGAATTGTTACAAATCTTGAAGATTTGAATGTATTAGTTCATATATATATACATTGGTTGCATTTAGATTTTTCAACAAATGCTTTATTTTTCAAATTTTTAAAAAAATGTTTATTTATTTTTGAGACAATGTGAGAGACAGAGTGCAAGCAGCGGAGGGGCAGACAGAAGGAGACACAGAATCTGAAGCGGGCTCCAGGCTCTGAGCTGTCAGTCCAGAGCCCAACGTGGGGCTCGAACTCACGAACCGTGAGATCATGACGTGA